GAATATGTATTACTTTTAACATAAAAAATTGCTATCAGCCAGGGGAAAGTGTATATTAATTGATATTTCATTATGAAGTTCTATGGTGTGACTTAGATTTTGTGAAAAATAAATGACAAAACAAGTTAAAATATCTGTGACACCTCTTTCATAGGTTTTCATGCCTTGTCAAAATCCACAAGCTTCTCTTACCAGAAACTGGCCCATAGGAAAAAAAAAAAAAAAAAAAAAAAAAGAAGCAATTGGAATAGGTCAGTTAAAATTATACAAAAACTTTCCAAAAGACTGAAGCCATTCTGTTCTGCCATGAAACACTAAGGATGAATTTTAGGTAAACATACATTGGGCATGTTAAGAGTGATTGGTGTGGGCTGATCTGACCACTCCACAGGCTGCAGTCAAGCAACTGAATCAGCTGACTACATGTACATTGGGGTCTAACATTCCTGGCTTTGAACCTTGGCTTTGCCCCTTCCCTGGAACAACAGGATATCCACATGAAAAAAAAAAAAAAAAGAATCTAGACACAAACCTTACGCCCTTCACAAAATTAACTCAAAATGGATTGTAGACCTAAATGTAAAAATTCAAAATTATAAAACTCCTAAAGATAACGTAGGAGAAAATCTAGACGACCTTGGGTTTGGTAAGGACTTTGTAGATACAGTACAAAAGGCATGATCCATGAAAGAAAAAACTGCTAAGTTGGTCAAGAGTGTGTCTCCAAGGCCAGACTGTCTCGGTTTGGGTCCTGCCACTACATGCAGTGACTGTGCAAGCACTTTGGACTCGTGACTTCACCTCTCTGGGTGTGTGCTTCCACCGCTGAGAGACGGAGCTACACACGGTGGTCATGGGGACTGTGCCTTTGCATGGAGAGTTCTCAGGACAGGGCTTGGCACATGTAAGCGCTTAATAAACATCTCTTATTGCCCACCCCTCTCACAAAGAACGCCTGGAGCCAAATGGGATCCAGAATTTTTTGGATTTTAGAAAAGTAGCACAGGGCATACTCCATTTATTATGAAATGCTCCCAGCATGTATTTGTTGGGTGTGTAAGTATTCATACTAATTGGGATAGAGACTATAAATCACCTCACCATCAGATCAGTTTGCCACCAGATGCTTGCGGACTTTTATTATTTTGCCCCTCCAAACCTTAGTTTTCTCATCTGTAAAGTGGCGACAAGAGGCCAGGTACTGAGCATAACGCTTGGGACTGTCCCCTTTCTTCCTTAGAATGTAGACTCTGGTAAGCACCTCCCCTCCCGCTCCCCCCTCCAACCTCCAACCCTCCTGGAAAAGGAGGTGGGCAGACCAGAACCCATCAAGCCAGGCTGTTCTTACCTTCTTGCGGCCCCAGTTTCACCGTGTGGGATTCGTGCAGGATCTCTGCCACCGTCCTGCGGGTGTAGAGGATGGTGGCACCGCTCAGGTTGACTCGCACCCGCTGGGCCCGGGAGGTGAGGCTGGTCAAGCACAGGGCCAGCCTCAGGTCGTGGCCCAGCACGGGCGGCTCCAGCACCTTGAACTTGCCGGTGATGCTGGGCTTGGTGGCAGGCTCCAGGAGGTCATCTCTCCAGAGACCCCTTCCCCCGGCCCTGCGGATCCGGGTCCTCCTGCCGGAGGCCTCCACGCCGAACAGCTTCTTCACCGCCTTGCTGTACACCTGCCTCTCCTTCCGGGACCCTGCAGGGCGTCAGTGTCAGAGGCAGGCACCCTTGTCCTCCTCTGCAAGACTTGTCCCCCGCTCTGCCACCACTTTAAATTAGCACGGCTCTCGGAGGTCTCAAACAGGCTGCCCAAGAGCCTTAGGCAGATGTCAGCCTTAGGCCTTGTGTTGGGTTCTCCCTTTAAACAAAGGGTTTTTTTGGTTTTGGTTTTGGTTTTTGGTGGCTGGCTGGTTTGGGGATCCACACCCTTGCCATCCAAGTTTTAATCGGTTGCCCACAACTTCAGACCAGGAAATTTCACATAAAAGTGCACATTCCCAGCTTCTCTGACAACTGGGTCAGAAGCCTCATATAACGATAGCTAACACTCCTGTGGACTCACTATGTGCCAGGCACGATAGCTTCAGGCACTGTATTAGTTTCCCTAGGAGGTAGGCACTCTTTTCACCCCCAGATTACAGGCGAGGAACCTGAGGCACAGAGAAGTAAAGGAGCCCCTCAGCTGCGCGGCTCACGTGGTGAGTGAGGGAGCTGGGATTTGAACCCAGGACGTCAGGCTCCATGTTCCACTCGTGCTCCCTACCACTCTCTACACGGCAGTAATGACCTAGCGTTGAGCAGCGGCTGCCGCCTGTGGCGAGAATGTGCTCTCTGACCGTCTGTGGCCTCCCCTGTAACTCAGCTGACAAAGGCCCCCAGGGTCCTCACCTTCCGGGTACTTGTAGAGGCCCGTGATGTCCACGCGGGTGTCGCTGCCCACCGCCTTGGTGCTGATGCACCTCCCGATCTTCTTTGTGTCCGAGTACACGCGCTCCCGGCTCTCGTCCTCACGCCACAGCCAGGTGATGTAGTCCGCGTTGACCTCCGCGAACACGAAGGGGCCGTCGTGGGCCAGGTGCACGTCGCCCTCGCGGATGGCGGTGACGGAGGCGGGGCCGCACCGGAACACGCCTGGGCGGGAGGGGCACGCGTGAGCAGCGCGGGTGACGAAGAGTGGGGGTCGGGGGCCCGCCCGGCCGGCCGCAGAGGGGGGAATA